AGACTCATACCACTGGTTATTGTCCTGTGTCAGTTTGTCAATCCTAAAGATTAAAAAGTGAGAGAGTAAAGTGAGCACCTTGATATTGTCTTTCAGTGCTTTCTCACTTCCCTTTCAACATCAGCTGCCAGCCAAAAGGCTTAGACTGGATGCTGAGGTTTCTCAGCCAACAAATCACAACGCAACTGTTGAGGATTGACCAAGGCTTCCAAATACACCAGTAACTTCCAGAAGGCCCCAGTTGTACTGCTCCAAGGCACCCAATACCATCAAATCTCATGTGAACTCAGCTTCAGTGCAGAAAATCTTTGGATTCAAAAGTGTGGTACAAAGATCACTGCACTGTGTGGCGGGAACTTCCACTGAACATGTCATGGGACTTACACTTCCCCAACACCCTCACCATACTGCCTCTTTGCAGAGCCTCAAGCGCACAGCTAACAACACCCTCACATATTTATTGCAAATTTAAATATTCATGAGTGATGACAATCAATTTCCCTACCCTATCAATTGTGTACCATCATTTTCAGCCCTTGAGTGCCAGACCTGCCATTTGAATCTTTTCCCACCACCTAGCCCATTCATGCTGACAACAAACAGGTCATCCCATACAAATGACTACTAATAGAGACTGAGGGTGCTTCAAGGGCCGCTGGTGTCACGCTCGAGGCAGGGGTGGCTGGTCAGCCACATGATAGTAAGGAATTTCAAATGCAGTATCCATCCTCCCTATCTTCTTAACTGACATGTAGCTACAGTAGTATACTTAATTTATATTTGAAAGATATGAAAGTGTAGTTTCCAGCTGAGTGAGCAAGGTAAACATGTCGTGCTTGAATATTGGGCTTGTGTTGATATGTCTCATTTGTTTGGCAAGCAGACACATGACCTGGATTGCCACACAGATCTGCTGCACAATGATCACTGCACTTTCAAATTCAGAGATGTCCTCCTTCAGTGGTGAGTTATTGAATCGTATAGAATTCAATTTGATGTTCTGAAATCACCAATGTAGGATCTTCCACACAATCTCGAGGAACTACTGCCCATGACCATCCAAAGTTCACAAGCTTTTAACCATGAAAAACAAAACGCAAATGCTTATCAAGCTCTGATGTCCCCAACTAACCATCCCATCCATTTTTCTTTGAATGTTGTCATCAATTTGAGCAGGGTGTGCTTCAACCTTCCTCCCATCCTCATCAATGGCAGTCATTTTTTCAACAGTTGCTTGCTGCTTTAACATTCAATAAAAAACTTGACAAATGTGGCAGCACCTCAGTAACCTTGGTTGAGAAATGGGACATCGCAGGAAATACTCTCTACACGCTCAACAAGCTCCCGCTTTCACTTGATGACTTTGTCACACTTTTGGATTTTATGAGAGATTTCTAGTGAGTCAATTTACAAGATTGTTTTCTTGAAATGTTAACTGTTCATCTCCACATAGATGTGGTCAATCCACTTACAAAAACATCCTGTTCAAAACACTCACTCCTGTGCTTCGAGTGGGAACTACCCTGGAATACATGTCCATCACATCTATTACAGCCCAATCATTTTATCTCATGTGTAACCCTTTATGGGATATGACAACCTGGCATTTGGAGATTGACATCATGTCCCTCAAAGTTCCTTTCACACAACTTTTACCAGCACCATTGTTGACCTGATTGATAGCACCATTCTAGCTCATTCTATCAGCACTGAACACATCCTGAAGCATGACATATACAATTTAGGTACGGTTTCAAATTCTAATTCACACCAGGGAGTTGATCATCTGCCACCACAGATTAAGACTCTCATTGAAAGATGTGGGGAAAACTGCAGTTGATGTGGAACATTCAGTACCCTTTGATATTCAATGTTCTCCCACTGCAGACCTGGAGGGAAGTGGGAGCCATACTAAAAGTCTTCTGAGGAATTTGAGAAATTTATCTATATGGTATGATGGCTTTTTATCTCACTTACTCCATCACTGAAAATTTAAGAGCTGTTACATTTACTCTCTGTGCTTTCCTCAGAAATCCACTTCAAATAGTGCAAGAATGACAGTGCTGAAATTGGAGCATTCCATAAGGGTCATTTTTTGGGCATTGACATTCAGCATGTTAAACACAATTTGGACATTTTTTGGCTGCATTTTCAGAGCACTGACATATCCCCAGCAGGTCAACCAGATAGATATCAACGACCTAGGTTGCCACTACCCCATTAATGCTTGCACTAGATTTGCACTTCATAGTCATACTGATCCTTTTATGTAACCTTTATTGATACTTCAAGACTAGTATTTGTAACCACCTTGTGATTCTGCATGTAAATTTTGACATCCGACAAATGAGGTGTTTGAGCCTGGTATATCACTGCTCAATCATGCAATCATAACATATGACAAGGCCAACAGTGTAATGTCCTTATTTCCAAATTCCGCCAGCAACCTTACCTATGAAGACCATGTCATATAGCATTCATCCCGCTGATCAAGCTTTGTGGCCTACAATTCCTCATCATGAGCCTCACTCTGCAATCATGTGTTGGTGTTGTGAATGTCCAATGTAGCCCATAATTTGACATGAAGAGATTCTTTTGCAAAGTCCAACCACCACTGAGCAGTTGGCTGGGGGCACAAAAAGTGTTTACCCCTCAATGGAAAATATTGCAAGAAAGGAAAAGTGGTTTGGGGGGGGGTCTGCTATCTGGGGAATTAGAACTCGCACACCTAAGAATGAAATGAACAACACCGCCTCCATCAAACATTCAGCAATAAAAATGGTATACATGTTCATACTACAGATGTTTGCCTACTTGTCCTAATTCACTATTGCAGCATCTAAATATTTGAAGTAAGGGGGTTTGCCCAAGGGCAGTGCAGCAGAAAGGCTAGCACAGCATAACAGCCAGTGCAGCAGAAAAGCACCACAGGCTAAGGCAAGGGGTCTGGGGGCTATGCAATGCCCCCTAGTGATGCCGTGTTTTTTAGCTGGTAAATTCTTGTTTTCCTTATAGAGAGCGACGTTGTTATTCAAAGTTTACATTCTTAAATTCTCCAGATAGATAGGAAGTAGATCTGAATTATAAAAAAAAAAGAACGTAAAAAAGCATTACATTTTCGTTGAGCTATTTATGTTTAGCTGGTCGCCAAGTCACAGCTCAAATGAACTAGCTTTTTTTCAAAGCCAAGTCGCATTTGTTTCTTGTGTGGTTGTTGTTGTTCTTGGGCCACTGGGATCATTTGTGGTGGTGGTTACATGACATGGTATGCAGGTGATGTGGTGGCAGGGTGCACTCATCATTGTTGAGGTTGTGGGTTGAAGTGGGCACTCATGAAGCAGAGGGGGCACTTGTGGCCATTTGTCAATGGGTGTGGTCATGTCAAAACATTTGTAGCTTCCATGGTCATCGTGGTGGTTTGATGGTGGTTGTTGGCAAGTTGTTAATCTTGTGTGGTTGTTTGATGAAACATTTTGCCAAACATGACTTAGCCAAACAAAACCACATCAAAGCAATGCATACCAACATGTAGAACTTGTGTAGAACAAAGAACATAGCTGAAGGTTCCATAACCTTCCTCTATGCTAGTAGATGTATTTAATATGTTTGTAAAGTAAGATAGAATGATCCTTACTTTTTACCCCAAAGACACTATAGTATTTGGTAAAGCCTTGTGCTATCAAACTCAAATCAAACTATCTACCTTCACTAGTACTAACATTTCCGATGTCACTTATCATCAACATTGAAGTACATGAGAACTCACTTGATCTAGGGACCACCCTCTTGAGGTCGGACTCAGTTCAGAGCACCTCATTGACCAAGCCAGGAGATATACCAGCAACAGAGAGCTCAGCCTCTGATGCAACCCACCTGTTATTGAAATCCAGTCTTCTGAGTTGTACTGAAACTTTGGAAATTGCTGTGATTGTCATCTTACAGGCGTGCTTGATGCCAATGTCACACAAGGTGGTACTTGATTCCTGTAAAACCTGGTACATGATCAGGGTTGAAAAAAAGGCCACCAGCCCCTGGAATCTCTGGTGCCATTGAGTGAGCGTCTGTATTGCAGTACATGAAGTTGTCAAAACCATGTTTGTCAAAGTTCACCTATCATGAGATCTTCTTGTTTCTTCATTTTGGGCTAGTGGCAAATATCAGCTTGACCAAAACAAATATACAAGCAAAAAAAATGACAAATGTTGTGCCAAGACTCAACCTTTTTGTTCATCTCCTCAACTTTGTATATAGAGTTGGGTCTGCCTCCAAGGCCCACTGTTGACAAACTTCAGCTGGAGACGGCAACAAGACACTGTCAAATTCCAAACACAGTTGTGTTGCAGGTCAAGGATTGAGTTGAGAAGGGAAATATCATCCTGCAACTCTTCCTTGACAGCAACAGCCGAATGCAGTTCAAGATGTTTGCCTTGAAAGGCATGGTCAACATCTTCCATGGGGCTGTCATCAGCACCACATGCAAGTGGCTCAACACGACCAATCTGAGAATAATTGTAACCGTCTGTCAAAATTTGAAGATGAGTCGCTTACCAGGAAGTCGTTGACGTCGATATCTTCATCAGCCCCATACAGCTCTTTGACAGGACTGATCTGAACAGAGTTGTGATGGTCTAGACTCCATAACGTCAGAGCTTTGGAATAACTTACTGGGAAGTCATTGATGTCGATATCATCATCAGCCTCATATGGGTCCTCAACAGGACCAATCCGAAAGAGTTGTTATTGTCTAGACGTAACCTCAGAGCTAAATGATAACTTACCAGGAAGGCGTTGACGTCAATATTGTTGACATCGAGTGCAGGAGCTAACCCCCATGGACTGGGTATCAAATCGGTTTCCTGCTTTTACCATGAATCAACTATGCATGTGGCAGTTCTATACGTACCACTGGTCCACCAGTGGACAAAACTTACTTAGTGTCAGATTCACCCTACATCTGAGTCGGTTTGTCAACTTCTCTAACAATAAGATGCTGAGAGGGTAAGTAAGCACCTGTAATGTATTTCCAGTCTTCTGGCTCCCCTTTTAAAGCACAGTGGGCCTTCACATCCTGATGGAATTCGGCCTTGACGGTATCTGAATGGTGGCCTTTCCAGTCCTCAAGTTCCTCCTTAGGCTGCAGTAGGTTATTTAAAAGCACAAAGCATAGAGCCATATCAACAACAAACTTTTTTGATATTGAAGGTTTTCTCATCTTCAGTTTTGACCTCCATAATTCGGGTGTACTGGTGTTGCACAATCCTCGGTAAGTGTGATGACCAGTGACATGCCGTGACATGGTGTCACAGGCCCAATATCTTGAGACATTGAGTTTGTACTTTCCACAGCACCTATTCAATATATTTTTTGCAATGGGTTTGATTGAATTAAGTGAATGAATCCACTGGGAGAGTTTTCCCTGGAGAAATTGCATTTATTGCTCCAAAAATGCGAAATCAGTCTGTTTTCCCTGCCAAATGAGGCAGTCTGAAGTGATTGGACTATAACTTTTCAACAACAGCACGTATGAACATGATTTGCAGACGGATTTTACTTAGAATTCAAATTCCAATCGATCTACGGATCCAGAATTTTTATTTGTGGCACCTGTGCCGAGATACCCTTGAAAATCAGCACTTTTACATGGTTAAAGGCTAGTAATTAAAAATATGGACCCGTAGGATTGTAGCCACATAGTAATCGATGATTTCGTCTCTGCAAACCTAAGCCCATATCCTATCTGTTGTGAAGCTCATAGCTCGAGGAGGCAACCTTGGGCCAATAGGTGCTGCACAGCCACTGATCCAATTCCGGAATGGGTTTGCACAACATGTGGCATCTGCATGGCACCCTCATGCATGCAGGAATGTTGCTGGATTTCTTGGAGACAGCTTCTTTACACTTGACCACCACCTCAACAGCCTGTAGACCCAAAACACCCCCATTTTTTTGTGCTTTTGCCTGCTTTTTTCCATCAAAAAGCATCCAAGTCCATACTACAAGTGAGGGTTTGTGCTTGAGCTTCAGAAATGCATATACATCTTATTATTGTTTTGCATCTAGGATCTATTCAGTAATTGAACATCTGCTTTAGGTATAGATATAGGCAGATCATTCAATTCAAGCATATAACTATATATTTTTGCAGGTATTGTTAGAACTTAGTACCACCCTTGTCACCTCTCTCTTCCCCTGGGTTTCATTTTTTGCTTGTCTCTCTTTCTCTGTGGTTGTTCTCTCAGTTATTCTCATCTCTAGTACTACTCTTGTCAGGAGATTCTTTGCCTTTCTCTCTCTGGGCTTCATTCTTGTTTGTCTCTCTTGCTCTGTGCTTGTCCTCTGAG